GAGGGAGGGGCCTGAGGGGAGGGGCCTGAGGGGAGGGCCCTGAGGGAGGGGTCTGAGGGAGGGGTCTGAGGGGAGGGGTCTGGGAGTGGGCGCCTCGGGCCCTCAGAGCAGGCGAAGGCGCACCCTTCGGGGTGTGTCCGTCAGCGGAGGGTCCGGCGCAGCTGGTCAGGGCGGGGGGCTCTAAGGCGGCGCCGGGTGCTCCGGGGACGGGTCCGGTCCTGCTGGGCCGCCGAGGGCCGGGGCGGGGACGGCCCTGGTGGGACGGCCCAGGTGGGCCCTGCCGGGAACGGGGACAGGCCCGGGGCCGCAGCTGGAGCTGGCCGTGTCCTGTGTCCCCTCCTCAGACCTGCAGAGGAAGAAGTCCAAGTTCCGCTTCTCCAAGATCTGGTCCCCGAAGGGCAGGAGCAGGACCCCGGAGTGAGCCCGGCCGCCCGCGGGCCCCAGGGGCCGGGCGGCGGGCTGGACCCTCTGGGCCCCAGCGGCCTCAATAAAGAGCTGACCACGACCTGCTCCGTCTCCGCTCGTCGTGCCCCGAGTGGTCGGGGCAGGGGTTCGGGGCGGGGGGTCCAGGCGGGGGTCGGAGCGGGGGTCAGGGCGGGGGTTCCGGGTGGGGGGTTCGGGGCAGGGGTCCGGGCGGGAGGTCGGGGCGGGGGTTCTGGGTGCGGCCGGCAGCCGGCAGCCTTGGTGCTGGGACGGGATCAGGCGGAGCCCTGACAGCCTATCGGGGGCCCCGCCGCTCAGACCGAGTCCGCCCAGCGCTGCCCTGTGACCCCGGAGAGCGGCTCCCGTGGCCGCTGACGCCCCACCCGTGTGCGGGGCGGGAGGCTGTGGCCCGGCTGCCTCCAGCTGCCTGGGGCCGTCGTGGTCCCCGGCACAGAGCCAGCTGATGGTTAGGAGGGTCTCAGCCGGGATCCAGGGACTGGAGGTCGGGGGTGGCGGGGGCAGGGCTGCCCGGTGCAGACGCTCGGTCCCAGCGCCAGGGCTCTGCCCTCTGAACCCTGGTGGCCGCTGGGACCGCAGGGTCATGCCGGTGTGACTGGACCAGCGGATAGTGGGGCCTGCGGGCTCCCCTCAGCGAGGCCCGGAGGGGACGGTGGGGACGGAGGGCGGGCGGTCTGTGCGGCCAGCAGGCTGGCTGTGCGGTCAGCAGGGGGGCCTGGGTGAGCCTCAGGAGGACCTGGAGGGGGCCCTGACCCTGCGGCTGAGACCGCCTCCCGCAGTGTGGCCTCTCCACCACCAGATGGAGGCAGAGGGCCACCCTGCAGAGCTGGGCGGGTTACTGAGCAGGAGAGGCGGGGACCAGCCTGCAGCCACAGCACCTAGATGGGCCAAACTGCGCCCAGACCCCCTCCCAGGCGGCTGGGGTGCCGGTGGGGTCTCTGAGATGGCAGGAGGGCTCCAGCCTGTGGGCAGTGGGGCCCTCAGAGGGTCCCGCGGGGCCTGGGAGCCCCTGTCCACGCTGCCCCGAGTCCGGAGCGTCCGGGGTGGGCACAGTGGCGCAGTGGGCAGAGGCGGTCCGGTCTGCTCGTGGTCCAGGCCCCGAGCCTCACGCTGACCTGGCTCCCCACACTCCGTCACTGCAGGACAAGCACCGTCCTGGGTCACCGGTCACCGGGGCGCCAGTCCTGTGACATCCGTTCAGCCCCAGGGAGGAGCAGGGGCCGTGGGGGCTACTGGGGTGCAGGGGCCTGGCTTCACCGCTGCCCACCCCTAACCCGGAGGGGTCACCTTGGGGCCCCAACAACTTGCCAGGAGGCTGAGGAGAGGCTGGCCCAGCAGGCTCCGGGCCACGTGGCTGGGCTCCTGCCTGCGCCTTTGGAGACCTCGCACGCCCAGGCCTCCCCCCCCCCGCCCCCACGTGGCCCGGAGACACCCATTTCCAGTGGACGTGGGGTGGGGGACACGGGGGCTGGTCCCTGGGTGGCACCCCTCTCCTGTCTTGTGGGTCTGGGGGCTGTGGCCTGTGCTGAAGGACACTGAGCAGAGGGACCCGTGGCTGAGGTCTGGCTGGGTAGAATTCAGGGGCGCTGGGCGGGGCAGTGGCTGCAGCAGAAAGGGGGGTCAGGGGAGGGCAGCCCTTCACGGAAACTGGTGGTGTGAGCAGTGCTCTACCCCTTTGACAAGAGGGGAAACTGAGTCACAAAGGAGTGCCAGGCTCACGATGGGGGGGCGAGCCTGTCACCCTGGGGGCTCCCCAACGAAGGGCCTGTGTGACGGGGCCCGGGTGGGACTCTGCCTCTGGCCGCCTGGCACCCCCTCCTTGTGCTGCGGTGGCTCCCACTCACCCTCCAGCCTGGACTCTGATTCCTGGCGCCTCTGCCTCCTGGGCGGCTGCAGCAGGTCCCGAGAGCCCGTCTGCCAGCCAGTCGGCCAGTTGTCTCGTCCTGGTCCTCGGTCCTGGTCAGAGTCCTGGACTCTGTGGTGAGCCTCCAGGAGCTCCTGACGGGGTGGAGCCGGAGGTACACTGTTACGTTGTCAGGGATGGAGCGGGAGTTGCTTTGTTTCATTGCTAACAGAGATCCCACACACGCATCGGATGTAATCCAATTGAAATCACATTATCGGGAACATCTTATTTTATCACAAATTGAAATTATATCACCTTCCTCTTTTCCTAAATTAAAAAGCTAAAACCTTCTGTTTGTTCTCCCATGTTTGTGTAAAACTCAGTGATTTTAACCCATCACATTCCCGCGTGGCTGTGTCTGTCCTCGTTTGTTTACAGGGGAGAACTTTCCGGAAAGAGCTGGCTGGTGTGGGGGAGGGCTCCTCCAGGCAGGGGAGCTGGGGGAGGGCCCCCTAACGGGGGAGGGAGCAGTTCAGTGCCGGTGTGCTGATGCATGGACCCTGTGGGGTACCCCGGGGGCGGCACAGGCCGGAGGGCCTGGCGTGCGGGGGCAGAGTTGGCCGCGGCACCGGGGGTGGCCCTGGTCAACTGCAGGTGGCCGTGACCTTGGGGCAGGCATGGACGGCTGGATGGACAGCTGGGGCGCAGGCCTCTGAGGGAGGCTCAGCCTGGCCCTGGGCGTGGGCCTGGGTCTCGCCACCTCCCCCGGCTTCTCCCCAGTCTGCACCCAGCTGCCCTGACCAGGACTGTCTCCCGTGCCTGGTGCCTCTGAGGACCTTGTCTCAACCTGGCACCTGGCCAGACCCTTTCCCAAAAGGTCACGGCGAGGCTCTGGGTGGACAGGAAGTCTGGGGCACCGGTCAGCCACTGCCCCTGGGGCCATTATGCCCCTTTTGTTTGTGCTTTTCCCGGGTCTCCGATATTTGCAGGTGAAAGCGCCCTGAGGAGGGGGTGTGGGTGGGGTCGTGGGGATGGACTCAGGGACCGGACCAGGGCCTGGGGGGCAGCAGGACTCAGCGCCAGGGCACCGGGAGGAGGACGCTCAGGCGGCCCATAGTTGACCACTCACTCCTGTGGCTTTGGGGGAGAGGGTGGGAGCAGCCGGTCCCCAGATGAAGGAAGCCTGAGTCCGCACCACACGTGGGGCGCTGCCAGGGGAGGAGGGACCTTATCTCTAACCCTGACCTTTAAAACTAAATCGGACCCTAACCCTAACCCTAAACTTATCCCTACACATAACCCTAAACCTAACCCTAACCCTATCCCTATCCAAAACGCTAGCCCTAGCCTTAACCCTAACCTAAACCTATCCTTAACAATAACCCTAATAATAACCTTCACGATAACATCCCTAATGCTATCCCTATCCCTAACCATATCCTTAACCCTAAACCTTACCCTAACCCTAAAACTAACCCTATCCTTAACCCTATCTCTAACCCTATTCCTAACCCTAACCCTATCCCTAACCCAAATACTAACCCTAACCCTAAACTATCCCTAACAACCTATTTTAATAATGACCCTAATTCTAACCCTATCTCTAACCCTCATTCTGACCCTAACTCTAAACCTATCCCTAAACCTAAACTTACCCCTAGCTCTAGCCTTAACATTAACCATATCATAACCCTAACCTAGCCCTAGCTTTAACCCTAACCCCAACACTAACCCTAGCCCTAACACTAACCCTATCCTAAACCCAAAACCCAGCCCTAGCTCTATATCCTAACACTAACACTAAACCTATCCTTAATCATAACTCTAATCCTATCCCTAACTCTAACTCTAACCCTAACCCTAACCCTATCCATAACCCTAACTCTATCCATAACTCTAACCCTAATCCTATCCCAAGCTCTAACCCATACCCTAACCCTATCTTTAACACTAACCCAAACCCTAACCCTATCCCTAACCCAAAACTTATTCCCAACCCCTAGCCATAATCCTAACCATAGCCCTAGCCCTAACTTATCCCTAATCCTAACCCTAGACCTAGCCCTAACCCTGGCCCTAACCATAACCCTAACCGCTAACCCTAAACCCTAACCATATCCCTAACCCTAACCCCTAATCCTAACCCTAACCCCTAACCATAACCATAACGCTAAACCCTAACCCTAACCCTAGCCCTAGCTCTACCATAACCCTAACCCTAACCCTAAACTCTAAACCCTAACCCTAACCCTAGTCCTAGCTCCACCCTAACCCTAACCCCTAACCCTAACCCTAACCCCTATCCCTAACCCCTAACCCTATCCCTAACCCTAATCCTAACCCCTAGCAATAACCCTAACCCTAACCCCTAACCCTAACCCTAGCCCTAGCTCTAGCCCTAACCCTAAACCCTAGCCCTAAACCTAGCCCTAACCCCTAACCCTAACCCTAAACCCTAGCCCTAACTCTAAACCCTAGCCCTAACCCTAACCCTAACCCTAACCCCTAACCCTAACCCTAAACCCTAGCCCTAACTCTAAACCCTAGCCCTAACCCTAACCCTAAGCCTAACCCCTAACCCTATCCCTAACCCGAAACCCTAGCCCTAACCCAAACCCTATTCTTAGCCCTAAACCGTAACCCTATCCCTAACCCTAAACCCTAGCCCTAACTCTAACCCTATTCATAACCTTAACCCCTAACCCTAACCCTAACCCTGAAACCTAACCCTATCCATAACCCTATCCCTAACCCTAAACCCCTAACCCTAACCCTAACCCTAGCCCTAAGCCGAACCCTACACCCTAGCCCTAACCCTAACTCCTAACCCTATCCCTAACCCAAACCCTAACGCCTAACCCTAACCCTAAACCCTAATCCTATTCTTAACCCTAAACCGTAACCCTATCCCTAACCCTAACCCTAAACCCTAGCCCTAACTCTAACCCTATTCCTAACATTAACCCCTAACCCTAACCCTAACCCTAACCCTATCCCTAACCATGACCCCTAACCCTAACCCTAACCCTATCCCTAACCCTAACCCCTAAACCTATCCCTAACCCTAAACCCTAGCCCTAACCCTCACCCTATTCTTAACCCTAACCCCTAACCCTATCCCTAACCCTAAACCC